AGAATGATTAAAAAAGAGAAGGAAATAATTCAAGCCACAAGGAAAAATAAAGAGAATGAAAATTAACTGCCAAAGGAAGCAGAAAGAAAGAAAGAAAGAGAGAGAGAGAGAGAGAAAGGGTGAAGGAAAGAAAGAAAGAAATAATAAACGAATGAAGATGAAAATAAGGAAAAACAAAGAATGATTAAAAAAGAAAAGGAAATAATTCAAGCCACAAGGAAAAATGAAGAGAATGAAAATTGATTGCCAGCGAAGCAGAAAGAAAGAAAGAAGGAAAGAAAGAAAGAAAGATAGAAAGAAAGAAAGGAAGAAAGAAAGAGAGAGAGAGAGAGAGAAAGGGTGAAGGAAAGAAATAAATAAAGAATGAACGAATGAAGATGAAAATAAGAAAAAAAAGAATGATTAAAAAAGAAAAGGAAATAATTCAAGCGACAATGAAAAATGAAGAGAAGGAAAATTGAGTGCCAGCGAAGCAGAAAGAAAGAAAGAAAGGAAGAAAGAGAGAGAGAGAGAGAGAGAAAGGGTGGAGGAAAGAAAGAAATAAAGAATGAACGAATGAAGTTGAAAATAAAAAAAAAAGAATGATTAAAAAAGAGAAGGAAATAATTCAAGCCCAACAAAAAAATGAAGAGAAGGAAAATTAAAAGAAGAAGCAGAAAGAAAGAAAGAAATGAAGAAAGAAAGAGAGAGAGAGAAAGAGAGAAAGAAAGGGTGAAGGAAAGAAAGAAATAAAGAATGAACGAATGAAGATGAAAATAAAAAAAAAGAATGATTAAAAAAGAAAAGGAAATAATTCAAGCCACAAGGAAAAATGAAGAGAATGAAAATTGACTGCCAGCGAAGCAGAAAGAAAGAAAGAAAGAAAGAAAGGAGGATAGAAAGGGAGAGAGAGAAAGGTGAAGGAGGAAAGAAATAAAAATGAAACGAATGAAGATGAAAAAAAAAAAAAAAGAATGATTAAAAAAGAGAAGGAAATAATTCAAGCCACAAGGAAAAAATGAAGAGAATGAAAATTGATTGGAAAAAAAGCGAAGCAGAAAGAAAGAAAGAAAGAAAGAAAGAAAGAAAAAAGAAAAGAAAGAAAGGAAGAAAAAAGAGAGAGAGAGAGAGAGAGAGAAAGGGGTGAAGGAAAGAAATAAATAAAAGAATGAACGAATGAAGATGAAAATAAAAAAAAGAATGATTAAAAAGAAAAGGAAATAATTCAAGCCACAAGGAAAATGAAGAGAATGAAAATTGACCAAAGGAAGCAGAAAGAAAGAAAGAAAGAGAAGAGAGAGAGAGAGAGAGAGAGAGAGAAAGGGGAAGGAAAGAAAGAAATAAAGAATGAACGAATGAAGATGAAAATAAAAAAAAAGAATGATTAAAAAGAGAAGGAAATAATTCAAGCCACAAGGAAAAAAATAAAGAGAATGAAAATTAACTGCCAGCGAAGCAGAAAAGAAAAAGAAAGAAAGAAAGAGAGAGAGAGAGAGAAAGGGTGAAGGAAAGAAAGAAAAAGAAATAATAAAACGAATGAAGATGAAAATAAGGAAAACAAAGAATGATTAAAAAGAAAAGGAAATAATTCAAGCCACAAGGAAAAATGAAGAGAATGAAAATTGATTGCCAAAAGGAAGCAGAAAGAAAGAAAGAAAGAAAGGAAGAAAGAAAGAGAGAGAGAGAGAGAAAGGGTGAAGGAAAGAAATGAAAATAAAGAATGAACGAATGAAGATGAAAAAATAAGAAAAAAAGAATGATTAAAAAAGAAAAGGAAATAATCAAGCCACAATGAAAAAAATGAAGAGAAGGAAAATTGAGTTAAAATGAAGCAGAAAGAAAGAAAGAAAGGAAGAAAGAGAGAGAGAGAGAGAGAGAGAGAGAAAGAAAGGGTGGAGGAAAAAAAATAAAGAATGAACGAATGAAGTTGAAAAAAAAAAAAAAGAATGATAAAAAAAGAGAAGGAAATAATTCAAGCCACAATGAAAAATGAAGAAAAGGAAAATTAAAAGAAGGAAGCAGAAAGAAAGAAAGAAATGAAGAAAGAAAGAGAGAGAGAGAAAGAGAGAAAGAAAGGGTGAAGGAAAGAAAGAAATAAAGAATGAACGAATGAAGATGAAAATAAAAAAAGAATGATTAAAAAGAAAAGGAAATAATTCAAGCCACAAGGAAAAAAAAATGAAGAGAATGAAAAATTGACTGGAAGAGAAGCAGAAAGAAAGAAAGAAAGAAAGAAAGGAGGATAGAAAAGAGAGAGAGAAAGGGTGAAGGAAAGAAAGAAATAAAGAATGAACGAATGAAGAAAAAAATAAAAAAAAGAATGAAAAAAAAGAGAAGGAAATAATTCAAGCCACAAGGAAAAATGAAGAGAATGAAAATTGATTGCCAAAGGGAAGAGAGAAAAGAAAGAAAGAAAGAAAGAAAGGAAGAAAAGAGAGAGAGAGAGAGAGAGAAAGGGTGAAGGAAAGAAATAAATAAAGAATGAACGAATGAAGATGAAATTAAGAAAAAAAAGAATGGGGAAAAAAAAGAAAAGGAAATAATTCAAAGCCACAAGGAAAAATGAAGAGAATGAAAATTGATTGCCAAGGAAGCAGAAAGAAAGAAAGAAAGAAAGGGAGAGAGAGAGAGAGAGAGAGAGAGAGAAAGGGTGAAGGAAAGAAAGAAAGAAAAGAATGAACGAATGAAGATGAAAATAAAAAAAAAGAATGATTAAAAAGAGAAAGAAATAAGAAAGCCACAAGGAAAAATGAAGAGAATAAAAATTGGAAAAAAAGGAAGCAGAAAGAAAGAAAGAAAGAAAAAAGGAAGAAAGAAAGAGAGAGAGATAGAGAGAGAAAGGGTGAAGGAAAGAAAGAAAAAAAGAATGAACGAATGAAGATGAAAAAAAAAAAAAGATTGATTGAAAAAAAAGAGAAGGAAATAATTCAAGCCACAAAAAAAAATGAAGAGAAGGAAAAGCTAAAGGAAGCAGAAAGAAAGAAAAGAAATGAAGAAAGAAAGAGAGAGAGAGAGAGAGAGAGAGGGTGGTGGAAGGAAAGAAAGAAATAAAGAATGAACGAATGAAAAAAAAAATAAAAAAAAGAATGATTAAAAAAGAAGGAAATAATTCAAGCCACAATGAAAAATGAAGAGAAGGAAAATTGAAAAAAAGGAAGCAGAAAGAAAGAAAAGAAAGGAAGAAAGAGAGAGAGAGAGAGAGAGAGAGGGAGAAAGGGTGGAGGAAAGAAAGAAATAAAGAATGAACGAATGAAGTTGAAAAAAAAAAAGAATGAAAAAAGAGAATTCAAGCCACAATGAAAAAAAAGAGAAGAAAAGGAAAGGAAGGAAGCAGAAAGAAAGAAAAGAAATGAAAGAATGAAAGAGAGAGAGAAAAAGAGAAAAAGGGTGAAAGAAGAAATAAAGAATGAACGAAAAGATGATGAAAAAAAAGAATGATTTAAGAAAGAAAAAGCCACAAGGAAAAAAGAGAATGAAAATTGAAAAGGAGAAAGAAAGAAAGAAAGAAAGAAAGGAGGAAGAAAAGAGAGAGAAAGGTGAAGGAAAAAAAAAAGAGAATGAAGATGAAAAAAAAAAAGAAAAAAAAAGAAATAACGAAAATTTAAAAAAATGAAGAGAATGAAATAGGCAAGGAAAGAAAGAAAAGAAAAAAGGAAGAGAATGGAGAGAGAGAGAAGGGAGAAGGAAAGAAGAAGAGAAAGAAGGAAAGAAAGAAATAAAGAAATGAACGAAGATAAAAAAAGAAAAAAAAAAGAGGAAAAAAAAGAGAAGGAAATAGGAAAAGAAAGAAAGAAAAGAAGAGAGAAAAAGGAAGAGAATGAAAAATAAGGAAAAACAAAGAATGAAAAAAGAAAGCGAAGCAGAAAAATGAAGAGAATGAAAAAAGAAGAGAAAGAAAGAAAGAAAGAAAGAAAGAAAGAAAAAGAAAGAAAGAAAGGAAGAAAGAAGAGAGAGAGAGAGAGAGAAAGGTGAAGGAAAGAAATAAATAAAGAATGAACGAATGAAGATGAAAAAAAGAAAAAAAAGGAAAAAAAAGAAAAGGGACAATGAAAAAAAGAGAAGAGGGGAAAAGAAAAAAGAAAGAAGAGAAAGAGAGAGAGAGAGAGAGAAAAGGGTGGAGGAAAGAAAGAAATAAAGAATGAAGAATGAAGAAAAAAAAAAAGAATGATTAAAAAGGAAGAAATAATCAAGCCACAATGAAAAATGAAGAGAGGAAAAAAGAGAATGAGAGAAAGAAAGAAAGAAAAAAAAAAAGAGGTGAAAGGAAAGAAAGAAAAAGGAATGAAGATGAAAAAAAAAAAAAAAGAATGAGGAAAAAAAAAAAAGGAAATAAACAAGGACAAAAAAGGAAAAGAGAATGAAAATTGGAAAAAGCGAAGCAGAAAGAAAGAAAGAAAAAAGAAAAGAGGAAGAGAGGAGAGGACGGAAAGGTGAAGGAAAGAAAGAAAAAAAAAAAGGAACGAATGAAGATGAAAAAAAAAAAAAGAATGAGAAAAAGAGAAGGAAAAAATTCAAGCCACAAGAAAAAATGAAGAGAATGAAAATTGAACGGAAAGGGAAAAAGAAAGAAAAGAAAGAAAGAAAGAAAGAAAGAAAGAAAGAAAGAAAGAAAGGAAGAAAGAAAGAGAGAGAGAGAGAGAGAGAAAGGGTGAAGGAAAGAAATAAATAAAGAAATGAACGAATGAAGATGAAAAAATAAAAAAAAAGAATGATTAAAAAAGAAAAGGAAATAATTCAAGCCACAAGGAAAAATGAAAAAATGAAGAGAAGGAAAGAAAGGGATTGAAGAAAAGAAGAGAAAGAAAGGAGGGAAGAGAAAAAAATGAAAAAAGAAGATGAAAATTAAAAGAAAGATGATTAAAAAGAGAAGGAAAAAAAGCCACAAGGAAAAATAAAGAAATGAAAAGAATGAAGGAAGCAGAAAGAAAAAAAGAAAAAAAAAGAGAGAGAGAGAGAGAAAGGTGAAGGAAAGAAAGAAAAAAATAAACGAATGAAGATGAAAAAAGGAAAAAAAAGAATGATTAAAAAGAAAAGGAAATAAAAACAAGGAAAAAATGAAGAGAATGAAAATTGAGAGAAAGAAAAAAGAAAAAAGAAAGAAAAGAAAGAAAGAGAGAGAGAGAGAGAGAGGTGAAAAAAAAGGGAAAAGAATGAAGGAAAGAAAAAAAAAAAAGAATGAAAAAATGAAGATGAAAATAAAAAAAATGAAGAGGGAAAATTAAAAAAAAAAAGAAAGAAAGAAAGGAAGAAAAGAGAGAAAAGATGAGAGAGAAGGAAAATGGAGGAGAAAGAAATAAAGGAACAGAAAAGAAAAAAAAAAAAAAAGAAAAAAAAAGGAGGAAAGAAAAAAAGAAAAAGAAGAGAAGGAGAAGGATGGAAAGAAATAAAGAAAGAAAGAAAGAAAGAATGAAAAAAAAAAAAAAAAAAATGAAAAAAAAAAGAAGGAAATGAAAAAAAAAAAGAAAAAAAAATGAAGAAAAGAAAACGGAAAAGAAAAGGAAGCAGAAAGAAAGAAAGAAAGAAAAGAAAGAAAGAAAGAGAGAGAAAGAGAGAGAGAAAGGGTGAAGGAAAAAATAAATAAAGAATGAACGAATGAAGATGAAATTAAAAAAAAAAGAATGAAAAAAAAAAGGAAAAAGAATTGCTAAAGGAACAGAAAGAAAAAAATGAAGAGAATGGAAAATTGAAAAAAGAGAGAGAGAGAGAAGCAGAAAGAAAAAAGAAAGAAGAAGAAGGAGAGAAAAAAGAAAGGAGAGAGAGAAAGGTGAAGGAAAAAAAGAAAGAGAAGAATGAAACGAATGAAGATGAAAAAATAAAAAAAAATGAAAAAAAAGAGAAAGAAATAATTCAAAAAAAAAAGGAAAAATGAAGAGAATAAAAAAAGGAAAGAAGGAAGAAAGAAAGAAAAAAAAGAAAAGAAAGGAAGAAAGAAAAAGAGAGAGAGAGAGAGAAAAGGGTGAAGGAAAGAAAGAAATAAAGAATGAACGAATGAAGATGAAAATAAAAAAAAGATTGATAAAAAAAAGAGAAGGAAATAATTCAAGCCACAAAAAAAAAATGAAGAGAAGGAAAATGGGAAGAGAAGCGAAGCAGAAAAAAGAAAGAAAAAGAAAGAAGGAAGAGAGAGAGAGAGAGAGAAAGGTGGAGGAAAGAAAGAAATAAAGAATGAACGAATGAAGTTGAAAATAAAAAAAAAAGAATGATTAAAAAAGAGAAGGAAATAATTCAAGCCACAATGAAAAAAAAATGAAGAGAAGGAAAATTGAAAATAAGGAAGAGAAAGAAAGAAAGAAAGAAAGAAAGAGAGAGAGAGAGAGAGAGAGAGAGAGGGAGAAAGGGTGGAGGAAAGAAAGAAATAAATAATGAACGAATGAAGTTGAAAAAAAAAAAAAGAATGATTAAAAAAAGAGAAGGAAATAATTCAAGCCACAATGAAAAATGAAGAGAAGGAAAATTAAAAGAAAAAAGAAGCAGAAAGAAAGAAAGAAATGAAGAAAAAAAAAGAGAGAGAGAGAAAAAGAGAAAAAGGGTGAAGGAAAGGAAGAAATAAAGAATGAATGAATGAAGATGAAAAAAAAAAAAGAATGAAAAAAAAAAAAGGAAATAATTCAAGCCACAAGGAAAAATGAAGAGAATGAAAATTGAAAAAAAAAGGAAGCAGAAAGAAAGAAAGAAAGAAAGAAAGGAGGATAGAAAGAGAGAGAGAGAAAGGGGAAGGAAAGAAAGAAAAAAGAATGAACGAATGAAGAAAAAAAAAAAGAATGATTAAAAAAGAGAAAGAAATAATTCAAGCCACAAGAAAAAAAATGAAGAGAATGAAAATTGATTGCCAGCGAAGCAGAAAGAAAGAAAGAAAAAGAGAGAGGAGAGAGAGAGAGAGAGAGAGAGAGAAAAGGTGAAGGAAAGAAAGAAATAAAGAATGAACGAATGAAGATGAAAAAAAAAAAAAGAATGATTAAAAAAAGAGAAGGAAATAATTCAAGCCACAAGGAAAAATAAAGAGAATGAAAATTAACTGCCAGGAAGCAGAAAGAAAGAAAGAAAGAGAGAGAGAGAGAGAGAGAGAAAGGTGAAGGAAAGAAAGAAAGAAATAATAAAACGAATGAAGATGAAAATAAGGAAAAACAAAGAATGATTAAAAAGAAAAAAGGAAATAATTCAAGCCACAAGGAAAAATGAAGAGAATGAAAATTGAAGAGAAAGCGAAGCAGAAAGAAAGAAAAAAGGAAGGAAAGAAAGAAAGAAAGAAAGAAAGAAAGAAAGGAAGAAAAAAAGAGAGAGAGAGAGAGAGAGAAAGGGTGAAGGAAAGAAATAAATAAAGAATGAACGAATGAAGATGAAAATAAGAAAAAAAAGAATGATTAAAAAAGAAAAGGAAATAATTCAAGCGACAATGAAAAATGAAGAGAAGGAAAATTGAGTGCCAAAAGGAAAAGAAAAGAAAGAAAAGAAAGAAAAGAAAGGAAGAAAGAGAGAGAGAGAGAGAAAGGGTGGAGGAGGAAAGAAAGAAATAAAGAATGAACGAATGAAGGAAAAAAAAAAAAAAAGAATGATTAAAAAGAGAAGGAAATAATTCAAGCCACAATGAAAAATGAAGAGAAGGAAAATTAAAAGAAGGAAGCAGAAAGAAAGAAAGAAATGAAGAAAGAAAGAGAGAGAGAAGAGAGAAAGAAAGGGTGAAGGAAAGAAAGAAATAAAGAATGAATGAATGAAGATGAAAAAATAAAAAAAGAATGATTAAAAAAGAAAAGGAAATAATTCAAGCCACAAGGAAAAATGAAGAGAATGAAAATTGACTGCCAGCGAAGCAGAAAGAAAGAAAGAAAGAAAGAAAGGAGGATAGAAAGGGAGAGAGAGAAAGGGTGAAGGAAAGAAAGAAATAAAGAATGAACGAATGAAGATGAAAATAAAAAAAAAGAATGATTAAAAAAGAGAAGGAAATAATTCAAGCCACAAGGAAAAATGAAGAGAATGAAAATTGATTGCCAGCGAAGCAGAAAGAAAGAAAGAAAGAAAGAAAGAAAGAAAGAAAGAAAGAAAGAAAGAGAGAGAGAGAGAGAGAGAGAGAGAAAGGGTGAAGGAAAGAAATAAATAAAGAATGAACGAATGAAGATGAAAATAAGAAAAAAAAGAATGATTAAAAAAGAAAAGGAAATAATTCAAGCCACAAGGAAAAATGAAGAGAATGAAAATTGATTGCCAGCGAAGCAGAAAGAAAGAAAGAAAGAGAGAGAGAGAGAGAGAGAGAGAGAGAGAGAAAGGGTGAAGGAAAGAAAGAAATAAAGAATGAACGAATGAAGATGAAAATTAAAAAAAAAGAATGATTAAAAAAGAGAAGGAAATAATTCAAGCCACAAGGAAAAATAAAGAGAATGAAAATTAACCGCCAGCGAAGCAGAAAGAAAGAAAGAAAGAAAGAGAGAGAGAGAGAGAGAAAGGGTGAAGGAAAGAAAGAAAGAAATAATAAACGAATGAAGATGAAAATAAGGAAAAACAAAGAATGATTAAAAAAGAAAAGGAAATAATTCAAGCCACAAGGAAAAATGAAGAGAATGAAAATTGATTGCCAGCGAAGCAGAAAGAAAGAAAGAAAGAAAGGAAGAAAGAAAGAGAGAGAGAGAGAGAGAAAGGGTGAAGGAAAGAAATAAATAAAGAATGAACGAATGAAGATGAAAATAAGAAAAAAAAGAATGATTAAAAAAGAAAAGGAAATAATTCAAGCCACAATGAAAAATGAAGAGAAGGAAAATTGAGTGCCAGCGAAGCAGAAAGAAAGAAAGAAAGGAAGAAAGAGAGAGAGAGAGAGAAAGGGTGGAGGAAAGAAAGAAATAAAGAATGAACGAATGAAGTTGAAAATAAAAAAAAAAGAATGATTAAAAAAGAGAAGGAAATAATTCAAGCCACAATGAAAAATGAAGAGAAGGAAAATTGGGTGCTAGCGAAGCAGAAAGAAAGAAAGAAATGAAGAAAGAAAGAGAGAGAGAGAAAGAGAGAAAGAAAGGGTGAAGGAAAGAAAGAAATAAAGAATGAACGAATGAAGATGAAAATAAAAAAAAAGAATGATTAAAAAAGAAAAGGAAATAATTCAAGCCACAAGGAAAAATGAAGAGAATGAAAATTGACTGCCAGCGAAGCAGAAAGAAAGAAAGAAAGAAAGAAAGGAGGATAGAAAGAGAGAGAGAGAAAGGGTGAAGGAAAGAAAGAAATAAAGAATGAACGAATGAAGATGAAAATAAAAAAAAAGAATGATTAAAAAAGAGAAGGAAATAATTCAAGCCACAAGGAAAAATGAAGAGAATGAAAATTGATTGCCAGCGAAGCAGAAAGAAAGAAAGAAAGAAAGAAAGAAAGAAAGAAAGAAAGAAAGGAAGAAAGAAAGAGAGAGAGAGAGAGAGAGAGAGAAGGGTGAAGGAAAGAAATAAATAAAGAATGAACGAATGAAGATGAAATTAAGAAAAAAAAGAATGATTAAAAAAGAAAAGGAAATAATTCAAGCCACAAGGAAAAAATGAAGAGAATGAAAATTGATTGCCAAAGGAAGCAGAAAGAAAGAAAGAAAGAGAGGAGAGAGAGAGAGAGAGAGAGAGAGAGAGAAAGGGTGAAGGAAAGAAAGAAATAAAGAATGAACGAATGAAGATGAAAATTAAAAAAAAAAGAATGATTAAAAAAGAGAAGGAAATAATTCAAGCCACAAGGAAAAATAAAGAGAATGAAAATTAACCGCCAGCGAAGCAGAAAGAAAGAAAGAAAGAAAGAGAGAGAGAGAGAGAGAAAGGGTGAAGGAAAGAAAGAAAGAAATAATAAACGAATGAAGATGAAAATAAGGAAAAACAAAGAATGATTAAAAAAGAAAAGGAAATAATTCAAGCCACAAGAAAAAATGAAGAAAATGAAAATTGACCGTCAGCGATACAGAAAGAAAGAAAGAAAGAACGTAAATTAGAGAAAAAAGAAAGTATTAACAAAAGAAAGAAGAAAAGAAGAAAAGAAAAAAAGAAACTATTCACTCTTGAGCCTTATAGTGGGCTTAAAATAAGTAAAATAAATAGATTTCTTAAGGGAACGGTCTGTGTTGCGTGGTCCTTACTGGTCTTCATTGCGACAGAGGTCCTGCATGTTATTTTATTCAAGCAAATGCAAAGAATCGTGCGATGACGTCTAATAAATAAAATTTGTCAATGAATCAAGATTTGAGGAAAAGGATAAGTGGTAATTGCAAATGGCGATAAAAGGAAGAAAGATGTGAAAAGCGCGAGTCAAGTACACAGAGAGAGAGGGAGAGAGGGAGTTAAGACATAAAAGTCATGGCTCATAACACAGATTGTCATAGATTCAATATAATCACGTAGACCATTCATAAAGTTTTTCGTAATTAAATAAAAAAAAAGAAAAGAAAAAGGGAATGAAAAAAATAAGAATAACACAGATTAAAGAAAAGAATAGAAAAGTATGAATGAATAAATGAATGAATGAAGGAAGGAATAAGAAAGGAAGAAAAGGAAATGAATGAATAAACAATGAATTCATGGACAAGAAAGAAAGAAAGAAAGAGAGAAAGAAAGGAAGAGAAAGAAAGTAAGGAAGGGAGGAATAAAGAATGAATTAAAGAAATGATTAAAGGAAAAGAATTAACGAAAGAAAATGAAAGAAAGAGGGAATTGATGAATGAATTCATGGCACAAGGAAAAATGAAGGAAAATTGACTACTAGAAAGAAAGAAGGAAAGAAAGAAAGAAAGAAAGAAATATAGAAAGAAAGAAAGAAAGAAAGAAAGAAAGAAAGAAAAAAAGAAAGAAAGAGAGAAAAAAGAAAGAAAGGAAGGAGGAAGGGAGGAACAAATAATGAATTAAAGAAATGATTAAAGAAAAAGAATTAAGGAAAGAAAATGAAAGAAAGAGGGAATTGATAAATGAATTCATGGCACAAGGAAAAATGAAGGAAAATTGACTACTAGAAAGAAAGAAAGAAAGAAAGAAAGAAAGAAAGAAAGATAGAAAGAAAGAAAGAAAAAAAGAAAAATGGAAAAAGGAAAGAAAGAAAACTGTACAAGGACTAGAAAGGAAGACAGAAACACACAAACACTGGTTTGAATGAATGAATGAATGAAAGAAAGAAAGAAAGAAAAAAAGCAAGAGAAATAGAAAGAGAGTAAAGGTGGAAAGAAGAAAAATGAATTAAAGAAATAAAGAAAAAGAATTGAGGAAGGAAATTGAAAGAAAGATAGGATTAATAAATTAATTCATGGCAAAAGGAAAAATGAAAGAAAATTGACTACTAGAAAGAAAGAAAGAAAGAAAGAAAGAAAGAAAGAAAGAAAGAAAGAAAGCGGTACAAAGACTAGAAACACAGAAACAAACAATGATTAGAATGAAAGAATGAAAGAAAGAACGAAAGAAAAAAGAAAGAGAAAGAAAATAAGAGTGGAAAGAAGAAAGAAAGAATTAAAGAAATAAAGAAAAAGATTTAAGGAAAGAAAATGAAAGAAAGAGGGAATTGATAAATGAATTCATGGTACAAGCAAAAATGAAGGAAAATTGACTACTAGAAAGAAAGAAAGAAAGAAAGAAAGAAAGAAAGAAAGAAAGAAAGAAAGAAAGAAGAATGAAAGAGAAAAAGAAAGGAAGGAAAGGAGAAAGAAAGAATTATAGAAATAAAGGAATGATTAAAGAAATTAGAGAGAATTAATAAATGAATGATGAAGAAAGGAAGGAAAGCAAAAGAATGAATAAACAAAGCAAAGAAAGAAATTCATGATAAAAGAATACAAAATGGCTAACAGAAAGAAAAGAAAGAAAGAAAGAAAGAAAGAATGAAGAATTAAATGAAGAATTAAATAAAGAAATAAATAATTAAAGAAAGATAGAATTAAAGAAAGAATTAATGAATGAATGAAAATGGAATAAAGGAAAAAAGAAAGAATAAACAAAGAAAAGAATTCATGGCACAAGGAACAATGAAGGAACATTGGCTAAAAGAAAAAATAAAGAAAGAAAGAGAGAGAAAGGGTGAAAGAAATAAAGAAATAAAAAATGAATGAATGAAGACAAAAATAAGAAAACCAAAAAAAATGATGAAAAAAGAAAAGGAAATAATTCATATCACAAGGAAAAATAAAGAGAATGAAAATTGTCCATCAGCGTGGCAGGAAGAAATAAAGAAAGAAGCAAAGAACGAAGGAAAGAAAGAAATAAACAATGAATGAATGAAGGAAATTATGAATGAATAAATGAAAAGTGAAAAGAAAGAAACAAAAAATAAAAAAGGAAAATAAAAATTAAATGAATGAAAGCGATAAAGAATAAGTGAAAATAAAAGAAAGAGAATAAAAGAAATGAGAAAGAAAGAAAGAAAGAAAGAAAGAAAGAAAGAAAGAAAAAGAAAGAAAAGTAAAAGAAAAAATTATTGAGAAAAAGGAGAAAGAAAGAAACGAAAAATTAATTAAAGGAAGAAAGTAAATTAAAGAAAAAAAATACAGTTTTAAAGAGAGAAAGAATGAATGAAAATTAAAGAAAGAGAATAAAAGAAACGAAAAATAAAAAGAAAGAAAAAAAAAGAAAGAATGTTAATGCAACAAATAAAGAAACCAAGACCAAAATAAAGGAAAAAGTACAAAAAGGAAATTAAAATGACAGATATAAAAGAAAATATTTCTTAAATTAAAGAAAGAAAGAGGAATGAAAGAAAACCTGAAAAGAAACAATGGCGAAAAAAATAAAATAAGTATTGAACTGAAAAAAAAATGAAAAAAGAAAAGAAAAAAAAAAAAAATAAAAGAAAGGCAACACCCGAAAAAAAAGTAACAAAAAAAGAATGAAAAGAAAGAAAAGAAATCAGTATCGAAGCCTCAAGACTGTATTTCCTAACGACATTTATTCATTAAAGAGGCAGCGAGTAACGAGATCTCGCGGCGACAGACGAGACTTTCTTATTTTGCCGCCGAGTCGACCGTTAACACAGATTTATTTTAATGACGCAAGCGTTTTCCACATTTTTTACGAGACATTCAGTAGAAGGGCGATGTGTTAGCTTATTTATGGAGATGTCAGAATCGTTAATGGTCGGAGAGTTAGTTGGCTTTAGAATCAGAGTCAAAGGACAGAAGAATAATAGAAAGTTTCCAATGGCTCATCGGATCGTTTGCACAAGATCGCAAGAATTCGAGCTATTGTTGCTTGCTAATAATGATAAACGCTTTTGGGTCGAAAAGTGGAGGTAGGTTCTTTAGTCCTCGAGAATTTAGCACAATAAACTTTAATACACCAGCTACTATATATATATATATATATATATATATATATATATATATATATATATATATATATATATCTGTAGTTCACTGCTACCAGCAAGCAGAAATATTTTTCTCCTGATGATGGCCATATTGGCCGAAACTAGTCGTGGAATCTAAAAAATGAAATAATAATAATAATAATAATAATAATAAAGAAAGAAAAGAAAGAAAAAAGAATATTAATCTACAAACCCAGTGTGTCTTAAGATTTTAATTTTTAATATTTTTTATTGTTCATATATATATATATATATATATATATATATATATATATATATATATATAATATTGCGTATTTGGGCAGCAATCCTCTTTTATACAAGTTTCGGTAAAACCGACTGAAAAAGTACTGCAGTTACTTTCCTTGTTCGTTTCGGGGTCATCTCATTTAATAATTGTGTATTTGGGCAGCAATCCTTCTTTTAGAAATGTTTCATTAAAAACAACTGACAAGGTACTGTGGTTACTTTCCTTGTTGGCTGTCGGGTCATGTATTTTAATAATTGCGTATTTGGAAGCCAACTCTCTTTTGTACATGTTTCGTTAAAAACGACTATCAAGGTACTGTGGTTACATTCCTTGTTGGCTATTGGATTATTTAATTTAATAATTGTATTTTTAAGCAGCAATCCCTCTTTTATACATGTTTCTTTAAAAAAGATATTGGGTTAATTTCCACGTTGGCTTCCGGGTCATGAAATTTAATAATAGTGTGATACTATGTGTGGTTGCCGCGGTAAAACGGAAGAAAGTTTTGTTAAAACGTAAGAAAGTGTTATGTACTGAGAGACATTGAAACGAGAAGGGTTAATACCAAAATCCTGTGGGAAGAATTGAGAATTTAATTCACACACAGCCGGCACTTGGAATTGTGCGTCGAGGTTTTGAAAAATGGAAAACGGCCCCGACTTAGAGGGCAAAGACGACTAACATGTGTTCTACGCAGCTGAAAATACAAGCTGTAAAGCATTTTTCGTAAACAACGAATTTGGAATCAATTGCCCTGGTCGAAATTTGTGTTGAAATACCAGGAGGGCGTGGATAAGCCCCCCCCCCATGCTCACTGAGTAGATTTCATGGAAGAAGGGAATTTTCCAGAATTATGGAAATCTCTTACGTGCAATTACCATTGGGAATGGTATAAATCCGCTTCTGCTCCCTCAAGTTATGGGTAAATAGCAGGACAGGAACCGGGTTCTATAGACTTGGATAGCAACTGGTCTACCCCTGAAAGAAATGATAACCTACCGCGGGAAAAAAAAAAATCTGCCTCGTCAGTCATGTATCGAAAGAGACATGTTCGCCTACGTGTGTATCACGTATGGCACATAACTTACTTCACCAATTTGGACGAATATCAATAAATACGAATGCGCTAAGTGAATTCAGGAGACGATTCGCAGAAGAGACGGAGACGAAACCAGAGACAGGGGAGAGGCCTAGGAGATTAACTGCCGACGAAAGCCTCCAACTTCTGCTTTGTGCTGAACTATACCAACAACAGCAAGCAAGATTTCGCCAGGTCAATAAGAATATCACTTCCGACTTTAGACGCGGGTTGGGCTGATAATTAATTGCATACGAACTCTGATCTAAACCAATTATTGTTCGGAGAACTGATATTGTTGTGGTAGGATCCACCTAATTTGCATAGTGGAATACCGATCATATAAATATGGTTGGTACCGGGAAGAGAGGGAGGAATCAAGAGATTCAACCAGAGACTCTGCCCGACTGCGACTCAGTCAACACATTCTCCAGGAACGGTCTTACCAGGAATATACAAAAGACTATATGTAAATATTGTATACACTTTCTTGTTTCAATACATTTTGTACTAAGTACCTTTTGTGTTGCATTATTATTTTATGCATTAGTCAAGTTTCAACAGATATAAAAACAGTATATACTTTTGTTCAATTTATTCGTGTGTTATTTTTCCCTGTACATCTTCGTCCTGCTTAGATCAGCCCAACATGAAGATACCTGCGACGATTCGATCTCGGCCTCCTTATGATCAAACAATCCCAAAGTGGGATATGGTTAGCTCGGGATTGAGGCGGTCACTTCAGCGACGAACCGCAGTGTTGGATGACTTAGACGACCGGGGAAGGCGTTGTACGATTACAATAGAGCATTCGGGCAACAATCTTTCCTTTAAACATGTCTCGTTAAATATACGAGAAAACTAAAATGGATGATTTTTTTTTTATTTAGTCTCACATTTTCCCGTTTGTTTGGAGTAAGAAAGCGCAAATACTGTTCGTATTGTCCATTGTACAAAACGCTTACGGAAACGTTTTTTTTTTCAATTTCCATGGGTGTTTATTTTAGGTGTTATTAATTTTTCATGTTTCACTGTTTAAGATGTTGTTTTTAGCGTTCATTCCGAGCTTTGTGAGTTGAACGTGGTTGGAATTTCAGTTGGCATTTTTCTATTTTTCAATCCACGATTTCAGTTACTGAGTAAGATGGAATTTATGCAAGGTGCCAGATATATTATGTAAAGTTCTACTTATACAACGAGATATTTTCGCTAACGGGAACTATATAGGATTCAAGGGTTATCCAGCTCATTATTTTTTAAGATTTGTTAAAAATTGTGGATGGAGTAGTGAATTTTTATAGCTCTTTGGTCAGATGAATTAAACATGAACCTTATACTCAAGGAGGTGGTGATGTTATTTATATATATATATATATATATATATATATATATATATATATATATATATATATATATATATTATAAATTAACTGATAGAAAATATGGTTTTTTCGCTACCATATTTTAAATCAGTTAATTTATAATATTAATGCTCTGTAAATTTACATTGAGCACTATTTTATAAAAATAAAATTATCAATAAGAACACCGGATTATATATCTTACTATTTTTTTTTTATTTACACACACACACACACACACACACACACACACACACACACACACACACACACACACATATATATATATATATATATATATATATATATATATATATTATTTTACTTAAAAATTATAACTTAAATATGTTAGAAAATCACTACAATAATAGCCATTTTGTTTCAACACCTCCAGTGTCTTATAAAGTTGTTTATTGTTAGTTATTGGAATTTATTCCGTATACACCAATACTATACTTGGATATATATATATATATATATATATAGTGTGTGTGTGTGTGTGCGGCAAAAATAATTTTCTCCTCAGAAATACCTCGTACATAATGCTAAAACATTAGCTACAGAAATAGCAGAAATATCTCCCACATTTTAAACAGTCACACACACACACACACACACACACACACTCACACACATACATACACACACACATATATATGTTATGCAGTTATTTAAAAATTACGCGTGTTTAATTTAAACAAAAATAGATTATTACAATATCTTAATTCTTCTCACCAACCCACACAGATATTACTCACACACACATACACAATGATGTAAAAATTCAACCAAATACAAAATCATATTGCAACATATCGCTACATTTCACCGACTTCGCTCACATACACACTTAGACACATACATGAATTAACATTACCTTCCTACATACACTTTCTTCACATAAACGCTCTTACACTATCTGACACTTTAACACCTAAATGTCCATCGCATATATTTATATATCATCTATGGCTTTTATACACGTG